CATCCAACCACTCAATGGCAGATTAATGGAAAAAATATGTCAGTATTGAGCTTTTAATTGCTTCTATTACAAAACCCACACACTTAAGCTTAGCTTATCAGGCAGAGAAGAGGCAATTAGTGGCAACAGATGTATGAGTACAAACCTGCTAGAACAGCTCCAGATTAATCTGCCCCAAGTTGATTAAGACCATCTGCCCATTTTTTTCAAGTTTTCATTTTAACTATCCTAGGCAGTCCTTTCAAACTAATTGATATTTTTTCTTCTTTTTAAATCAATAGCTTTCCTAATATCCCCACCTTGAAAGCTTCAAAAGGGCTCTGTTATCTCAATCTGCAGCTTAATTTCCTTTCCACACAGTTTTTTTTTTTTTTTAAAGAACATTCAACCTCTGAAAACAGCAGATGAAAAGATTATTGAGCAGTACAGGCTTAAATAAATTAAGGCTTCCAGGCATGTTGTTACTTCCTGTTCCCAAAAGGTAATCTTTTTCAGGTTATTAAACATCATTTGTGACCTTTAAAAAGAACTCCCTGAAGTCATTCATTAATAATCAAATTTGGTTAGCCTACCACAATAGTGAATAATATAATGTCAATTTTCAATTATACCTATTCTAAAGTACTAATAGGGTTGAGCTGGTCCAAATGATCATAGAATATATTCATAGAATATATTTTACGTGGCATCACAAATTAACAAACCACAAAATAAGCTTAAGTAGGACAGATGAGAAATGAAAGGAAAATAATTATGAAAGATTTATTATATATAATAAGCAGTTCTAAGGCATGGTGATTCTATGAACAACACAAAAAATGGCCTGTGCTTATGGAGCTAAAGTTGTAGATGGGAAGTAAACCAAGAAAAAATAATTCCACAGATGAATTCTAACAAATGAAGAGTTAAAAGTGGCTTCGTTTCGAAGCAGTAACCCTTCTGTTGCTCATATTAACCTTGGGCCCACCTGAATTTCAGAAACCGTCTTGTTTGTGCTGAAACTGCTAAACCATAGATTACTTGAACAAAGCTACTCTGAAGTCAGGCTCCACTTTGTACTATAGCTAGCCTTGGGTCTCCACAAACTTCAGGAGATGACCAAGCTGGCCCAAGATAAACAGACCACCAATTACTCCCTGCTAAGCTTTAACTGCTCTGGAATGTCCAGATGGCCCATTGAGACCCAGCCAGTTTGATCACTCCCTACTACCCCTTATCGCCTTGGAATGCCCTGCTGACGCCTCTAGTTGCTGTAAATTTGTCAGTCTGTGATTTTTTTTTTTTCTCTCCTTCTCCTTTTGTAACTTTGTAGTTTTTGCCTTTATAAACCCTGTGACATTTCAGCTCGAAGCTCTCCTCCTAAGCTCGGCTGAGTCGGTGTGTAGGACGAGGCCTGAGCTGCAGCCTGCCTGAATAAAGCCTTGCTTTTGCATTTCAGAACGTCTGACTCTTGGTGGTCTTCTTGGTGGGGGTCCTGCGATGGGGGGTACAACATATTAGTGGGGGCTCGTCCGGGATACCCCCAAAGACCCCCGAGACCCCAGACTCCGAAGGTAAGAAAACAGCACTGCTAATTTGTCTTGTCCTGTCGATTGTGTTTGTTTATTTGGCTTACACTTGAGGACGGCCACTCCAACTCGTACTTGAAGGGTTGTCGAAGCAGACGCACTTGTACGGCAACCCTGGAGGAAATGGGAGACGTCCCAGATCCTCACTTGAAGGGGGACCCCTGGAACCCCGACTTCTAGGGCGTGAGTCAGTTTGGTCTTTGACCAGAACTGACCGGAGGGCCTCCTAACTGAGGCTCAACCCGCCCACCTCGAACTTGGGTCTGCTCCCTCTGTCCCTTCACAGAGGGCAGCAGATCAACTTGGGTCTGCCCCTTCTGTTCATTCACAGAGGGCAGCAGATCAACTTGGGTCTGCCTCTTCTGTTCATTCACAGAAGGCAGCAGATCAACTTGGGAGATCTCCATCTTGTAAGCCTATGTGTGTTTTGTTTTTCTGTTACCTCTTGTTGATTTGTGGACTAAATGACTGACGAGACTGAAAGCCATGGGCAATGCCCCATCCAACCCCCTAGACTTAACCCCAAAGACACAGGGTAAAGAGAAAGAAGACTAGAAAGAAACCAAAAAGGAAGAGAAGTTGTATCCATGTTTCTTCCTTGTTCTGAGACCTCTGTTCATGATATTTACTTTTGATTTTCAGCAGAAAACCAACCAGACCAGTCCCCACCACCCTAGAAAATCTGTGCTTGTTTCCATTGTCCTGACCTCTCCCTCCCCTGACTCTTGCAGGTTTTAAATCACTGAGGGATTCCACGGCAGAAGGCCCATTCTGCTCTCTGAAATAAGCATGGCATTTGCTGACTTTTTTTGTGTGTGTCATAACCTTTATTTTATAAATTGCTTATTCCTGTTTGTTTGCTAGATTAGTGCTGGATATTTTAGTTGGTCTGACTACATGTGCATGTAAAGAAGGGCTGGGGAGGCTTGGTAAAATTCTTCTAAAACCCTGCTGGTTCTGCTTTTGTAACTTGCTTCTTTGTCAATTATGAAACTGCCACTGACCACTTGCAGGTGGCACTGACAAGATCTTAGCCTCAGGCTTTGGCTCAGGGGGTCTGAGCATGGGGGAGAACTTGTCAGTCAGAGGGGACGGCCGCTAAGGACTTCTTCTCTCCCTTGCCCAAAATGATTGGGAATTCTCCTCCACCTTAGAAGGCCCCTGGGTCAACGTTTGCCAGAATCTAAAAAGAAAAATTCTCTGGAATGAGTAGAGGGGGTTCGAGTCCCCTGGTAAGTGGTGAGATGTCACCCCATTCACTGAGACCTGATTTTGTCTTTGTGGCCACTTGTTTGTCTTGTTTACTTTAGTGTGTTTGTTTGCTCTATGTTTTCTGAGGTAGGGAAGTTCTGGGTGAGCGTGACAGGCTCACTCAGCAGACTTTGGATTCAGCTTGCTGAGTGAAAACAGCACAGAGTTCTGGTAGAGATAAAGATAAACTGGGGCCCATTAGTCCCAACTCAGCCTTTGGTTCTTGTCTAGTTCTGTTTTAGAATTGGTACCAGTTTTAAATGTGGATCCTTGGTTTTTGTGTTTATTTGTGCTTGTGTTTTTCATTTGAACATCTCTGGGGAATAAAAGTCCCAGCCTCTGGCTGGGCTCAGTCATGGTCACAGACCTGCTATGCCCCCCCTCCCTGTGAGGCATGGAAAGTTGCTTCAAGCCTCAGGCTGCATTTTCTCCTTGTGGAGGCTGCTGGTGGGGAGGGTGTATAAGGCTATGTGCCTGGTTTGGACTTTTTCAGCTAGTCCTGACAATGTAACAATTTGTAAAGTGGTTTTGTCTAAATGGCGAAAAAATCAGGCTAGTTTAGTTTCAGGTGACCTCCCTCCCCCAGCCCTCCTTCAACAGAAGGGATTCAAAAGACCCATTGGTGAATTGCCTTGCTAAACAAGCAAGCTTTGGGAAAATGAAGCCCAACTTAGTTTAAAAAAATGCTGTCTTAAATTTTTGTTTAAAACTTTAGAAAAGGTATATACAACTGATTTTGATTTTTGTGTGCTTTAAGATCTGTGTGTGTTTTGTACGTGTTTGTGAACATGTTCAAGATAAGAATTGTCAGCATGCTGTAACAATTGGGTGAGTTTAAATTTAAAATTCAAAAGGTTATGAGGTTTGGACATTATCAAAATTTTTAAAGAATCTTCATAGTGTTTTAAATGACTTTTTAAGGAATCTTTAACTTGAAAAATAGAAAATCTGGTATTTGAGAATGCATTAGTCTGTTTATACTGTAATCAAGTTATCTGGCTTAACAAAAATGCACTGGCTGTTTGGGATTTAGTTCCCTTGGCCAAAATTTGGGAATAAATATTAAAAATTTAAATGTAAAGGTTAGTTTAACACTGTCAAAGATGTTACTTGTTCTGTCTGTCTAAAACTGTGTATTTCATTTGAGAACCAAGAGATAAGAAAAGGAAAAACTAGAAGCCAACAGAAGACCTATCTTTAGGGGTGAGGGGTGAGCAGGCAGAAGTGCAGTTCAGCTGGTCATGCATGGTAGGACTGGCCATAGGGGGAGTCCACAGATGGTGGGACAGGCCCTGGGAGGAGTCCACACATAGTGAAAGAGGGCAAGCTGGCACAAGCGCAGTTCATCTAACCCTAAAGAGTCGGATTGGGTGCGTGCCCATTCCATAGGAGGAGCCAAGTGGCCCATCATTGTTCTGTCCCTTTTCCCTGTAGATAGACACTGAAAATATGATGATTAAAATTAGTGATCTGATGATCTGTAGTATTGCTAAAACTGCCCTTGGACTTAAAAAGAGAGTTAAAAAGTTTATTTATATAATGTGACTTGCTTCCAATGATGTTCTACAAGTAGTATATGTTTTTAAAAGCCATAAAGGTGTTAAGTTTAGCTTCGTGGTATAGTGATGGTGCCTGTAATTCTTGCATTAAGGAAAAATTGTCATTTGAGTTTAAAAGTTTTAATGTGTAAAAACAAGCGGCCAAGAGACAATGAGTGACACTTGGCCTCAAGATTTTAAGAGATTTTTTAAAACACAAATAAAAACTAAAGTATGAAATATTAAAGGTGATTAATAAGAGGCTTTAAAAAATTAGAAATGGATTTTTGGACATAAAGTTTAAAAGTAAAATTGTTCTTAACATTTGCCTCAAAGTGCACAAAGGAAAAATTAGGATTACCAAAATAATTGCTATTCTAGTTTGATCTTATAGGTTTTTTTTAAGTTTCCAGCAAAGTCCAGAGCAAAGCATAGAGGATTCTTACAAGTTTGTCAGATGTAACTTTGACTCTTAATAAGTTTCAGGTAAGAGCATGCTTAAAAGCTACTTCTATGTTGACTACCTTGTTGCTTTTAATTGGAGTAAAGTGACCTTTTATAAGACTCATTGATCTGCAAACTGGTTCAAAGCCAGCCCGGGCACAAAAAGGTCCCTGTGAGACTGTCACCTCTACTCAGCCAGCAGAGTGCTGAAAGAGCAAGCAGAGTTGCTTTGGGACTCAAAGTGGCAGAGTGCTAGCCTTGAGCTGTAGAGCTGAGGGACAGTGCTCAGGCCCCGAGTTCAAGTCCAGCGACCAGCTAAAGGGAAATGCCAATGAGGCATTTATCCCAATGTGGAGAAGACACTCCTGGGACAAAAGCAATGGAGGAGCATCCAGAGACAGTAAGCCACTGCTTGGATGGCAGAAATGTCAGATCCTAGAGTCATTTTGTGGCCCTTCAAAAATCGGTCAGAGCTAGGAGGTCATGGGAAGATAGTTTGTAAGCATGCCTAATATCTATCCATGACTATCTACCTTGTAAGGAATAGGAACTTGCCAGTCCTCTGTGATAGTAAAAAGCTAATGTTATAAAATGTGAGGGATAGTTTAAATCCCAACCCCTGTATGTGCCAAAAGCTCTAATTGGCATTAACTATTGAGCTCACACCAGCTACATGAAATTCATCTGCTCAGGAAAAAGTTTGTAAACTTGAGAGTGTGTTTCTATATGTGTCTAAAAGCCTGCAAAGGTAACTTAGGCATTGTTAGGGTCATTAGAGATGAGATTACATTCCTAAGTCATCCAGAAAGATGCTTTTGCAAACCAGAGTGCTAAACAAGCTACACTGCTGTAGCCGGAGAAAAGGTCTGTGCAGTTGTCAAAAGTTAAAATATTGTTCTTAATGACATCTAACCCAGGTAACCTCTTTGTAAAATAGGCTAAGGTTATAGGTTTCTGGCTAGGTAGGATCAATGCCCCTGAAGTCAGCTTGAAAAAGTTAGGGAAGATGGACCTTCACCCATCAACCCCTGTTAAGATCAAGAGTCCAGAGTCAGTTTGAGAAAAAACGAGGTAAAATAGATAAAATATTTTTTTAGAAAAAGGCATAAAAAATAGTGTTAACAGGTGTGCAAGTGTTGAGACTGCATCTGTCAGAGATGGTTACAAGACTAAGCCTTCTGTGTCTGTTTACAAAAATATCTGGTTAGTAAAAAAGTTGTGATTTTGGTAAACTGTCCTGGGCTATTGTTTAAAGGTCTTATAAACCAGCAGGATCAAAGCCTGCCAAGCCTATGCAATGTATCCTTAGCCAGTCTGTGTAGGAATTTACAGTCCAGCATGAGGTGTGACAGTCCCTTGGAGCCACTGAGAGATCCTGCTGCTGCTGCTGTTGCCGTACCCTAATGGGTAGAGTTTGAAAACAGCCTCACAGTTACCTGGAGGAAATCTACGTCGTCACCCAGACCACCTCCACCGTGGTAAAAGTAGACTGAACTCCTGCCTGGTTCCATCACTTGAAACTGCATCCTGGTTGAAAGCTGCTAAAACTAAGATCTTGTGGGACATTCTTTTGGGTGATATCCAAAAATCCTCTCTATTCCCACAGTGGATATTGGGGACAAGGATATCACTGGCTTGCTTGCCTTAGGCACTTCAGTGCACAGTGACTGAAAATCCAATCTATAGTCACAGCCTGGTTTGGCTCTGGTATGGTAATAACCTGAGTGTGTTATCAATGCAGGTAGTAAATGAGACCCAGCCCTATTCTTAGCCTTAAAATCTACAAGCTTCTGCATCTCAGTGGTGCCTTAAGGCTGTTCTAAGATAACTTGGTTCTGCAAGCCAAAGAAAAATTGGTCAGTTTTAAACTCCAGCCACAAAGATGCTCAAGGAACTAAAAAGAAGAGGAGGGTGATAAAGAAAGCCTTAAAAAACAATTGTAAAAAAAAAAAATTGGTATTCTCTGGATAAAAAAAATTTTAAAGGGCTGGGAAGTTGGCTCAGTGGTAGAGTGCTTGCCTTGCATGCCTGAGGCCTTGGGTTTGATTCCTCAGCACCACATAAGCAAAAAGAAAAAAAGCCGGAAGTGGTGTTATGGCTCAAGTGGTAGAGCGCTAGCCTTGAGCTGAAGAGCTGAGGGACAGCGCCCAGGCCCAGAGTTCAAGCCCCACGACCGAACCCAAAAAAAAAAAAAAAAATTTAAAAAGTAAAGATTGTCTTTAAATGTTTAAAAAAAAAAGAAAAAAAGACAAACTTCAGAAAGTTTAAGTATGTAGCAAATGATATAAGTATGTCTTAAAATTGGAGCTTACCAGTACAGCTGGTATAAAATTAAGTTAGCTGTGATATACAGTCAGGACTGGTGGAAGAATTGTTAATTTTGTTACAAGCGGATCTTACATTTTAAATAGATTGGTATAATTTATAAAAGACAGGTTGAACACTATACAGCTAATGGTATAGCGAAGCAGGTACGCATCTCTTCCGAACAAGGAGCTGTTGGAGTTTAGTTTGGGATCTGAACCACAGGATTGTGCTTCATGTCCATAAGTGAAGGGGGGAATGAAGAGTTAAAAGTGGCTTCGTTTCGAAGCAGTAACCCTTCTGTTGCTCATATTAACCTTGGGCCCACCTGAATTTCAGAAACCGTCTTGTTTGTGCTGAAACTGCTAAACCATAGATTACTTGAACAAAGCTACTCTGAAGTCAGGCTCCACTTTGTACTATAGCTAGCCTTGGGTCTCCACAAACTTCAGGAGATGACCAAGCTGGCCCAAGATAAACAGACCACCAATTACTCCCTGCTAAGCTTTATCTGCTCTGGAATGTCCAGATGGCCCATTGAGACCCAGCCAGTTTGATAACTCCCTACTACCCCTTTTCACCTTGGAATGCCCTGCTGACGCCTCTAGTTGCTGTAAATTTGTCAGTCGGTGTTTTTTTTTTTTCCTCTCCTTCTCCTTTTGTAACTTTGTAGTTTTTGCCTTTATAAACCCTGTGACATTTCAGCTCGGAGCTCTCCTCCTAAGCTCGGCTGAGTCGGTGTATAGGATGAGGCCTGAGCTGCAGCCTGCCTGAATAAAGCCTTGCTTTTGCATTTCGGTCTTCTTGGTGGGGGTCCTGGGACGGGGGGGGGGGGGGGGGGGGGGGGGGGGGGGTGATACAACACAAACAACATCAAGATACTCCTCTCAGAAGACGTGACAATGGCTAAATGGGGGTACAGGAAGTGATGTGGGGGGAGGGGCATATCAAGAGATACTTGGTCACGTACATGTGATATAGTTATTGAGTGTTAAAAATGCTGAATCTACTGCTCATAAGTAAAGTCTTTAGCTGAGCAAATGATACATTTTTTTCTCAGCATCAGTTATTTTAATGCAACTCATTTTTTGAGCACTCATTTTTATTTCAACTACTTAGAGGCTCATAAAGGAAGGTAAAGAGCTACATTAGTCTCCCCACACAGGAGTGTATGACATAATCTACAGAGGAAACAGTCTCACAAAAACACAAGCAAAGCTGGGCGCTGGTGGCTCACGCCTGTAATCCAAGCTACTCGGAAGGCTGAGATCTGAGGATCACAGCTCAAAGCCAGCCCGGGCAGGAAAGGGCAGGAAAGTACGTGAGATTCTTATCTCCCATAAACCACTAGAAAACCGGAAGTGATGCTGTGGCTCAAGCGGTAGAGTGTTTGCCTTGAGCTGAAGAGCCGAGGGATATCACTCAAGCCAAGAGTTCAAGCCCCATGACCAACAACAACAACAACAAAGACAAGCAAGAGCACAACATGAAATACGCACAGTCAGCTACAAGGAAATCTGACTCAAAGCACAAATAAAGACTATTGGGGCTGGGTATCTCTGGCATTTCTCCAGGCCTAACAAGAGGCAGGAAGCTCCTGGGAAAGGGAACAGGCCTGAAGGGTTGAAAAGAGACGCAAAGGTCATAGTTACTTGGTAAAGCAACCTACAGCCTAGCAAAGTTATAGAGGAAGAGACTAGAGCAGTCTTGACCTCTTGGCCTTCTGTATAGATAGTTGAAGATGAGACAGCTGGAGACAATCTTGCTACTTATACAACCTCTACATCAACGACAATACATAAGCATGTCCAGGTAGCAGGATGGTAGTAATCGTCAACTAAAAATGACTATATCCAAGTAAATTACTTGTACTATAAAACCTTAATTATGTTCCTAAGAAAGTTCACATTATTTTTTAAAATCTATTACGTAAAAAGAGATTTGTGGTTGCAGAGAGATGACAAAACTAGGTAATTTTTTCCAGTACAGTTTTGACAATAAAATCTTGAGTCACGCTGGGTATGGTGGTTAATGCCTGTAATCCTAGCTATTCAGGAGGCTGAGATCTGAAGATCACAATTCTAAGCGAGCTTGGGCAGGAAAGTCCAATTAACCAGTGAAAATTCAAAAGAAGAGTTGTGGCTCAAGTTAGTAGAGCACTAGCTCTACTAGCTAATAGAGCACTAACAACAAAAAAAACCCTAAGGGACAGGCCCTAGGCCCTAGGCCCTGAAGTTCAGGCCCAATATTGGCACATGCGCACACACACACACACACACACACACACACACACACACACACACACACACACACACACACACACACACACACACACACACACAGAGTTGAGCTATATTTTGTTACCATAATAAATAAATAATAAATAGCTTATCACAGCCCAACAAAAGAGAACCAACGATAAAACCTGGACAGCATACAAAAATAACCTGCAGCCAAATTCACACCCACTAATGATTAAAAAAAACTACACACACCAAAAAACCTACTGCTGCCAGCAGGCCACCAGAGAGACACAGTGCCACAGGATGCCCCTTGCTCACAGGCAGCGCTTCCTTCCGCCCGGCTCTGGCTCCCTCTGGATGCTCACCTCTTAATCCTATTATAGTGGTCTAGAACAATGAGACTGTTCCCCACTTGGTCAATGGCCAGTTCCCATAACAGTCAGTTCTCAGAATGGAAATGTATGCTATAAGAGAAATACTAATTAATAATGTTCAAGGTCTTTATGATAGATAAGAACCTGAAAACAACAGTGCTCTGGGAAAAAATGAGGGAAGTGAATGAGGGCTGCTGTATATACATAACCACAGCATATTACTACTTTAAATGGCCTCTAACTCAGGCTGCCAAACCAACATGCCTGTTAACATCAGAAAAACCGTCCACAGCAAGCTCTTTCATCTCCTTAAGGAGACAGATAAGATGGAGAAAATGCTCCAGATCCATATCTTTCTTTGGGCTGCCAAATGTTGCAGCCTACTGCAATAGCAAAAAGAATCCAATAACAAGCTCTTAGAAACCTGGCCAGGGCCAGCAGCCGCCTAGGGGGTATTTGATAACGGAGACTGGCTGAATGAACTGGCCTTGACCTCATTCTACTCTTCCAGAATATCCTCATGCTGGGTTCCACACAGAGTTGCAACTGGATGAGAGAGAAGAGGCCATTTCTGCAGTTGTTCACTCAGCATTGAAGGCCTGTTGCCATGATTACTTGCACAACCTAGCTTTTACAGACATCTGGAAATAACACTTGCTAATTAGTGACGTTCTACACATTTATATTAATAGAGATAAGGAAAGTAGGTACAAACTGATCATTTGTTTTAAAGAAGTGTACTATCTCTTTTGGGTACAGGAGAAGGTGAAATTCAATAAAGTACTTTAAAGGAACATGGGTGAACTAAGTAATTCTGCAGTTTTGAAAGGAAAGCTAAGATCTCTCATGATTATAGTGGTCGAGATATGTATATAAACCATAAGAATCAATCCACTTCAGATTTTTAAAAAATAATCTCAATGTTAGGATTTGGAAAAGGCCCTGTGAATTTAAGAACCTGAAATAAAACCAACAAGAACAAACTTCAGTCTACATTGTAGAAAACTAAAGATTTTTGTCATAAAATTGTTTCCTGGATACATTTTTTCCTTTAAAAGTCACCCTTCACCTTCTCTTTGAGAATGGATGATATAGGAAGTATACTTTCTGTTCTGTTGCTCTAGGCTCTGTCTATACCAGGGAAGCCCTGTCTCCATGGGTGGCACCTGTGCCCTCCAGAGCTACCTGTGGTTTTTATGAAATTCGTCAGTTAGACTTGACAGAGACATATGAACATCTTGCTCATTCTATTGTAAGTAGTGGTTCTGAGATGGTTTCCCTTTTACACTGTGACATTCTACTTGTCCCCCCCAAATCTGACTTTCCTTTCTTTGAACACACACCTAAGCTGCATTTCTACCAAGTGTAGCCATATGACTAAATCACCTTTGCTGGAATGCAATCAGAAATGACATGTGCCATCCCAAAATGGCCCATAAGAAAACCAGTTCACTCCTCTATGTTCTTTGTGGCTGTCTGCCCCCCCCCCCCCCCCCCGTGAATAATGATGAGCCCAGGAAGCCTCGTGGTGGAAGGAACCTGGGTACCTGAGAGGGTACTTGGAAGAAAACCACTTTACTGCTACCCACCTGCCTAGGAGTTTTATGTGACCAAGAAATAAATTGCGGGGAAAAAGCGTATTCATAGTCTATCCTAGAAAAGTTATCGAAGCTTATTAGAAGAATAAGAATATGTTACATTAGAAAGTTTATAATTGCCAGCTCGCAATTCTATTTATAAATTTCCCTAACTACACGTTTTGGAAAAAACCATGGAGACAAGAGGATCAGTGGTTGCTAGGGGTTGAAGAAGAGAGAAGGATGAGCAGGGGGTAAAGGAAAGAGAATTTTCATGGCAATAAAACTACTCTGTGTATTTGTTATGATTTGAATATAAAATATCACTCCGCAGGCTCATGTGTTTGAATACTTGATCCCCAACTAGTGGTGCTGTTTTGGGAGGTTGTAGAAACTTTAGGAGGAGGGACTAACTTGGGAGCAGTAGGCCACTGGGGGTGGGCCTTTGGACGTTATACCTCCCATCTGGCCTCCCTTTGCCTATGGTCTGCCTCTACCACATTTTCTTTCTGCCATGATGTTCTGCACAGGAGCATGGGCCCAAGCATGTATAGATGGAATGCTTAGAAACCATGAGCCAAAATTCATCTTTCCTTCTTTAAGTTGTTTTTGTTGTTTTTGTCAGGTACCTGGTCACAGTGACAAGAAAGAATAAAAACAAGCCAGTTGTTGGAGGCTCATGCCTATAATCCTAGCTTACTCAGGAAGCTGAAGTCTAAGGATCGCCCAGGCAGGAAAAGTCCATGACATATGTGTCTCCAATTAATCACAAAAAGCTAGAAGTGGATCTGTAGTTAAGTGATAGAATATTACCCTTGAGCAAAAAAGCTCAGGGCAGTGCCCAGGCCCTAAGTTCAAGCCTCAGTACTTACACCAGGGAGAGAGAGAGAGAAAGAGAGAGAGAAGACAGAGAGAGAGAGAAACAATATAATATTATAATGGTACTATATACACTATATACTTTAGATGATGATATGTCAATGTAAGTTAGTAGACTATATCAAATGTACCACTATGTGGGCATCTGGCCGTACTCTACTCTTAGTTTTGATGTGAATTTAAACCTGCTGTAAAGAATGA